CAATAATTAACAACCACAAGGTCCATCTGACTCAGCATTTTGAAATGAGAAGATAAGATAAAAATTCCACGGACTTTCTGTTTCACCTAATATATAGGTATGGAGTACCTATCAAGTCAACACTTTTTGCACCGGGATCTGGCAGCTAGGAACTGTATGCTGGACGGGGAACTGTGTTAAAATTGGCGATTTTGGACTGTCCCGGGATATATACGAATCAGACTATTATAGCAGCGATAATACTAAATGCAAACTCCCTGTCAAATGGATGGCACCGGATGACCCGGGGTGATACACCTTACCCTGGTATTGAAAATTCTATCGTGTTAAATTATTTAAAAAATGGTGGCAGGTTATTCAAACCACCATATTGCCCTGATTCAGTTTATGATATGTCCAGGTGCTGGCTAATCAATAACCAAGATAGACCAATATTTACACAATTAGTTCATGACATAAGATGTATTTTGAAAGGAAATTCTTATGAAAATTATCCTGTACTAACTAATAGTTTGTATGATAATGATGGTTATTTGAAACCTAATGACATAACATGTTAAATTGTTATGTATACTAACAAAGTGAGTTTGTGTATAAATTGTTAATTTAAATTATTAACTTTCTGTGCCTTTATTCTAAATAAAACACTTAGAAATATTTATCTAAAAATCTTTATATTTTTCATAACTCACCCGTCTCTTTCTTAAGAAATATATTTTTTGTAATAATATATTGCATATTTATTTATTCATTTAATTTTTTATATATAAAAGCATAATGGATAGTGAAAGTTCTTTATTGGGGTGGGGTATTAAAAGTCAAATCCATATTATTATATTTTGGTCATAACTTATTGATCACCAATTAAATTGAAATTATAGTTTAGATTTGCTGTCTGAGAGATAGACTGAGTGTTGTAAAAATGAAAATGAAACTGAAAATGATGTAAAGTTTGGTATTGTGTTCTTATTATAAGTTACAGCATCTCTGATTAGAAATCTGTCTATTTTTTAAAAATTTTTCACTTGTTAAATTTTATATCATTCATTTAAATTAATCGCATTCATTTAAAGATTATCAGGGCCACCTATTGTATTTTATTGTTATAATTTATTTTGGTTAAATGTCTATTTTAATGCATATATAACAATTTATGTTAATAATTATTATGTATGAATATCTCTATTTTAGTAATTTAAATTTTTAAATTTATTTTAATAAATTATTAAATTAAAATAAATTTTTTCTGTACTTGTATATGAATTATACAATATGAATGTTTTGTTTTATTGTTAAAAACATCAATTTATCAGAGTTGTTAAGATGTACCATGGTAATAGAGATAACTTTATAAAATAATATCTTAAAAATCACATTTTCTCGAGTGTCTTTGTTATAATAAGATATTTTACTAATTCAAAATTTGATTTCATTTGTATTTTGTTAAGCGAAAAATAATTTAAGAATACTCTGTATTATACATTGTATATAACCTAGTTGGTAAAATATGTACTTATCCTTCATTATTAATTGTTACTCTAAACACATAATGAATTAAACATGTAAATAATGTACAGTAAGTGAAATCATTATTAAATTTTTTGAGATTTTCATGTTGAATGGAACTTAAATTTAAAATTTAAAATTAATTCAGACAAAATGTCAAATTTATAAAAATTTCTATAAATATAATTAAAATTTTTGAAAAATTAGATTATAATAAGGTTCTATTTATTTAAATATTAAATCTGATTTTCTATAAAATTTTTTCTAGACTCGACCTACGATGCACATACAGTGTAATCCGGGCCACATTAACATTAATAAAACAGCGAATGTTATAACATTAGTCAGTATAGAGATTAATGTTAAAATGTTTAAAGTTTAGTCACTCATAGTGTGTCCCCAAATGGCTCGAGTGTGCATCGTAGCTCTAGACCAGGCCTGTCCAGAATTTTTAAAAACACTTAAATAGTTATGTATAATATTACTAACCTTAATAATTATCTACAACACCAGAATAATTATTAATCTTAATGTCTAATTCCTGATTAATAAAATACTAGTGTTGTAAATAGTGTATTAAACTATTAAATACATAAATCGCTAGTTGGCCGCAAACGGTCATATATGTGCGCCTCTACTCTAGACTATAGTAATCTGTGTATTTTGTCTTTTATTACAGTCTCCTATACGTAAAATATTAAGTTGCCGTTAAGTCATTCATATATAGTTTTCGTGAATTAAACAATATTTGTAAATAATCAATTATCAAACGAACGCAAACACTCAAAATGATAAGTTTAAGTATGTTCGTTCAATGATATCTAATTGATTTATTATTTTACAACAACATTGTTTACAATAATATAGAAACGGCGTTATTATACTAAAGTATTACACATATAATTTTGTATTATAAAAATTATTGTTTTGAGCAAATTTACTAGTTGTTTCATTTAATGTAATATAATCTATTCAAGTTAATACATGGAAACTTTTCATGATCCCAGCGTTATAAAATAAAATTTAATATCCCAGCAACTATAGGATTTAACATCAATATTACGTAATTATATTAACAATATTTCAAAAATAATTAATAATATAATTTTAAATATTTTCATTAATAAAATATTCAAGCATGGCTAAAGTGAAGAAGTACTTGACAAAATTGAACCCGTTCAACACCAAATCCGAAAATTATTTTAATAAAACCTTTAACAAGATAGAAATTCTCGGAGAAGGGAGCTTTGGTAAAGTTTATCATGTTGAAAATAAAGCTACTCATCGTATATATGCCGTAAAAGAAATACTTTTTAAAGGTAATATAACAATTTTCTGATAATATAATATTTATAATTAATATATATTTTATAACTACTTTATTTTTAGACCTAGATTCAAAAGAGCAATCAGACATGGTGAACGAGATTGACAAATTAATTAGAGTTCAATCTGAATACGTTGTGCAATATGTGGATTCTTGGGATAATAATAAAAAGAATAATAAAAGGATAATATACATTCAAATGGAAATGTATAACTATAGTCTTTCAAATATTATTAAAGGCAAAGCAATTGCATTTGAGAGGCAAATTGGACATCCCATGGGCTTAATCGAGTACTTAGTTTCGTGCGAATTATTTAAACAAGTCTTGGAATGTGTTAAGCATTTGCATGAATTGAATCCACAGATCATTCACAGAGACCTCAAACCCGACAATATATTAATTGCCGTAAATGGTAGAAACGGTAGATTTGTTAAGTTATGTGATTTTGGTTTAGCTACTGTTCACGACAAACGCGTCAACTATAGACTATCACATAAACACACGGCTGATGTTGGAGATATGAGATATCACGCCCCGGAAGTTGGTCTTGGTCAAATATACGGTCATAGATCTGACATTTATAGTCTAGGGCTAATTGGTGGCGAATTATTTGACATGAATGTATTACTTATAGATTTAGAGAAGTATTAATTTAATATAAATAATATATGAGTTTCTAAAATAGATCATTACGAATACATTTATTTATGCAGCCCTAAACCTTATTCAACAACACATACAGTTCTAACTGTGCCGGTATTTAAATTACAAACAATATTGGTATCGATGATTAGCCAAAATTATACTAAACGTCCAGAATGTCAAATAGTGTTAGATAATTATGACGATTGGTCAATTAATAAAACAATTGATTCAGCTGATTTGAATATGTTTTCGCTGAACAAACTCAAATTTAATAATCAATTTTTCTATAATTTTATAAATTTTTTAAATTCAAATTGTATTCTTCATAATAATGAGATTGATATTCGTAGTAAAAACACAAATGGTAAAGGTAATTATTATAATAATAAATTTGTGAATGTTGTTAAATCCTAAAATAATTAGAAAGTGAAACATCTTTGGAATCACCTTTGGCAGATGGTCCTGATAGTAATGGCGCCCCAATTCCTGAAAATTTACAATGTAAAATTATTACTGATGACAACTATTCAGCAACTAATCTTGGTAAATATAAAATGTTTTACCCAGATCAAAAGTGAATATTAAAAAATACAAATTTTCGAAATTATGGATTCTCACAAAAACTATAAGAGATTTCGTTCTGATTACAGAAAATTATGCGCAAGGTCAAATTGAAAAACTAATTTCTGGAAATTATTTTTTAATTTTTTAATTTTTAAAATTGTTTATTTGTGAGGATTTGATAATTAGAAATTCACTAGTCTTAGAACTACTCATTTGATCTGGGTTAACTGTGTTAGAATTGTTTTTCAAATTACTAAATCCTGTTTTCTGGCACCGAACATGTATCTAATACATAGAATATTATATCCTATAAATAAATTTTCTCTGTGAAATTACAAGTAAAGGTGTCAAACAATAAAACAGGTGTGAACTAAATACATAGAGAAAATGAATTTCTAGGAAAGAATATTCTGTGTATTAGATACTAAATAATACTTGTTGGCACCGATCCTGTATCTAATACACAGAATATTCTTTCCTAGAAATCCATTTTCTCTATGAAAAACAATTCTAACACAGTTGAGTTAACCCAGATCCATAGAGTATTTGCTGAGATTAATGAATTTTAACTTATCAAATTCTCACAAATAAACATTTTTTAAAACTCAATAAGACAAAAAACAATTTTAAATCCAGAAATTAAATTTTTCATTTCATAAATTAATATTCCCTTATGATCAAGGTAAAATGGTGCACATGAACATTTTGGCAGGGAACCCCTATTTTTAAAAAAAAAATTAATGGATCTAGCTCAACTCTAACTAAGAAATATTTTAAGGAATTGAGTGTCAAGCTTTTGTCGAAATTTTATATTAGTTTTATTTTAAATAATAAAAACTATTTATAACAATACATAATATTTTAATATTAACTAAAACATATTCATAATTTATAAATTTTTACAATTGAATTTGGGCATACATTAACAGAATACAGTGATGAGCATACATTAACAAAAATTTTTATCTATATCAATTGTTATAGATATTAGTAACTTGGCTCTATAGCCCATGAATGCTAATCTGTGGTGTTGAGTATAAGCATCTCTTGCGTTTTGGTTACTTTGACAATAATTTGACTATAAGTTGTTGAAGTATAAGTATAAGTATTCCTAGAAATATACATTTCAACTGTAATTTTAGCACTAATACACATTAACAAATAAAGTTTGAAAAATTAGTTTGAAATGTGTATTTCTAAGAATTATTCTGCACGGCCCATCCAATTGACCTAAATTTTAATAAAAGTATTAGTTACTATTTCAATAATTTTACCAACATTTGCGTAATAAATAAGTAATAGTTTTTGTTTATACCCATATCCTCACTCACTTCCCTTTCCTCCCTCCCCTACTTTTCCTTTCGTTCAAACACTAATAAATTTATTCATTTTTAAATTAGTCTACATTTACTTAAAATAAATTTCTATAATATTTTTAAGTCTTCTAAATCTGTTCTATATTTTTAAGCAATGTCATCAGGGTTCATAATTGTACAACCTACGTTGCCATATTGGGACACATTTCTGGAGAGCCTCAAAATTGGACATGCCATTACAATTACCGGGCACAATGTCAAGAATGATTTGGAAGTGTGCTTATTTAGCGGGGACGACATTGGTCAGCAAGCTCTCGATCACTCAAACATAGCGCTCCGTATTAAATATAAATTTAATAACGGCAAAGTGAGCCTAAGCTCTAGGTTACATGGCCAAAATAGCAACAAGGAAGAACATAGTGCTCGGTTACAAAAACGTATCGATATTTACTTGACAATCGAGATTGAGCCCAAGCACTACAAGATTATTATCAATGGCAAGTTGGTGAGCCATTACCAACACCGTGTGCCCCTGGACCAGGTGCGCACCATTCTGATTGACGGTAAAGTTTTCATTCACCAATTTCAATATGCTAAAAAATATCAGCAGCTACAATCCACGATAATATAACAAACTCAAATTGCACTAAATCCAACTCAAAACGCGCAAAATAACACTCCACAAACACAACTGATTCCCAAAAATCAATGTTATCGAGGTACAATTATATTTGGACCACGGCCCATGCACGCAAACCTGCACGGGCCTCTTCAACAGCCAGCACCGGTACTAGCACCACAAACCTCATCTGCCCTGTAGTAATCAGGGGCACAATGGCACACACCATCCACACATAAATTTGATGATTAGATATTTAGATAAGTTAAGTTATTTTGGTAAATAAACTGCAATTTAATAAATGAAAAACAATATTGTTTATTATTCTATTATTACGTAAATTATAGTTATATACCATGGTGATCTTATTCAGTTTAGTATAGTAGATCTCTATATTTTTCAATCATTTTTACTATAATTGGATTAATTTTTTATTAGTAATTATTAATTGTGACGATTACTAATTAATATTTCCCATAAATAAAATGACTATTATGAATCAAATAATTACCAAGTTCATAATAATGTATATTTGACTAATCAATCGCTGAATAATCGTTGAGATATTTGCTTGAGCAAACCTTTTTTCTAAAAAATATTTCAATTAAATAGCATTTATTGCCAAATAATGACCCAACTCATTACTAACTGTTAATAATTGTTTCTGTATTTAACGATTTAATAAAATACATACTATATTAGATGGTTTAAAATAAACTATTTTAAAGTGATTTCTACTATTGAAAGGTTGTGCATAAAAATAGGCTGGCGTTTACTGATTAACATTTCATAATCAACAGTTTCAATGGATATGAGGTAGGCTCATTAAGTTTAAACAGAATTTTTATTTTAATTATGTTTTATATATTTATTTAAACAGGTATTAAATACTCATATTAAATAGGTACTATAATCAGTGTGACCAACTCAAGTTTCGTAATTAGTGGACATTTTAATAAAATAATTGAATAAATAGAGGACAAATAGTGGACAACATATTTTATAGTGGAATTGAATTACAATTTTTTGAAAATATTTTTTTCTGCTGATCTCACTAACAACAGAAATTGTTGACTAATTTTGTTATTAGTTTTTTTTACATATTNATTACAATTTTTTGAAAATATTTTTTTCTGCTGATCTCACTAACAACAGAAATTGTTGACTAATTTTGTTATTAGTTTTTTTTACATATTTTCATATAAATTTTCTGCACTTAAACGAATTTTAGTTAAATGATAATGTTTTTTATTATGATTATAATGTGAAATGCAATTTACATAGCAGTTTTATGTTGCAATTATTTTTCTAAATAA